TTATTTGGATTCGTGGTTATCTTTGAGAAAAGTGCTGTTTAAGATATTATCAACACACTGGCTTTATAGTATTGAATATGGTTCCTGGTTGACCTTTGAGAAGATTATAGGGAATGTAATATTTGAACATACAGTACTTGCAGCTTCTTTTATAATACTTGTTAAGCATGTGTCCGAACATATGGATCGGCACTTCATTCACTGGTAGATTTTTTTTTTCAAGATTTCTATTATTGTTTTAGGTTTAACTACACCTAACAAGAGCTCCCTTTTCTTGTTCCTTTCGTCCACCCCACATCGCTAAGCTAAAGAAATTATATTATTCTTGGATGACAAACAACTAAATGAACGTTGATGTGTTAAAGAAGAAGAAAAAAAGAAAAGAATAAATTGGGAACAATTTCTGATGCTAGGTGTGCTAATTGTTGTGAGATTCTTATCATCTTCTGTTTCTCTGTTGTATCTTTTATGGCATGCTAAGGCTTTGTGCACAGGAAGTTTAATATGTCAGTTGCATACAAATTCTTGTGCTATACAAAAAATCTTACCTTCCTGCTGGGGCAGTGAGAAGAAAGCTTAGATTTTCGGGATGCAATTAGCATCTTGTGTCTGACAATTACTGTGGCATCTGAGGGGTGGCTCTATATACCTGTGCTTTGTTACACAGTATGTACTTTTTTCCCTTAATTCATTTTTTAATCATCCTGCTGCAGCCAAGAGCAACCGTCAAATTTCCTCTGGGTGAAGTTTCACTACAGGAGAAAGAAGAGGAGGAGGAGGAGGAGCAAGCAAAGAGAATACTGTCAGTCAATGGAATCCTCAAAGGCAATATCCTGAATGGAGTTTGTACTGCAAAATACAGCGATGAAACTTTGGATCTGAGATACTGCTATAAGGTAGTTTCTTTTCAATAACTATTCATATTGTTTTGACCCTAGTTTTACTGGATTGCAGATGTTTAGTCCTTTATTCTTTTCTTGAGTTCTTTCTTGGCTGTTAAGTGGCTGGTCACTGTTTTATATCATTTGGCATTTGACTGTACACCCCATGAAATGCGTGGTCTCTCTCTCTCTCTCTCTCTCTCTCTCTCTCTCTCTCTCTCTCTTGTTGATATATAAAGGGGGCCTATTGCCCTTGAAGGGAGTAGCACATGAAGCATATTTATTAGGCTGAACATGTGAAGTGAAGCAAGTTCAGTGAAACATTGTGTGACAAGGCTAAATTTGTCTTATGTTCCAGTGCGTGTGAAGGATTTGCTTCATATGGTTCACCTTAATGTTATATTGTATTGAGTAACAGATGGGTTTAATAGAAAGAAAAAGAAAAAAATGAAATAGATAATAGGGTGAAAAGAGAATTGTACTAGATGCCTAGAGCGGCAAAGCAATCCTTTGAATTCTCATTGCCATTTATCTGTTTTTCCCTTCTCATATGGATAAATCTGTGGTAGATATTAATAATATCTGAGATAACAATATTTTCCGCTCAAACTTATGCTGTGAATCACATCATCTTCTGGATCTGCTGTGGAGCTTGAACTTGAAAAATGTGCTCTGTGCATGGTATTGTGGAATTATTGATCCACTATTGCTTCATTTATGTATTGTCTGAAATTTTTTTCCATTTCGTTCTCTTTGAATAGGATTGCACATTCATTTCGATTCAGTTGGGTCCTCCTGTGCTTTCATGTGTCCGTATATCTGGAACTCACATCAAAAAATATTTTAGAACTTGCAGCATCTGATCCCATAATCCACGTGGTTAGGAATATTTATGTCTACATTTGGATCTGTATTTGGAGTTGACCATTCCTATCTTGCAGGATGAGCAAATGGCATTTATTCCCAGCATTTCCTTGCCTTCAAATGCAATGTCATTTGCCTTCAAGCGTCGATTTGGTCCTTCGGACAAGTTGAGGTGGAGCCTCTATCTTCATTTGACCTCCTTTTAACATAATGTTTCTGAGGTTCAATTTTTTTGATTTCTTATGCAAAAGCATATAATATGAGAAAATATCTAGCTTCAGTCGACTGAGCTGCTTGAAGTTAGCATGTCATACGATATTATATGTCACTGTTTGATTAGAAATCATGTCTACCGGAAACAACCTCTCTACCTTCTCAAGGTGGGGGTAAGGTATGCGTACACACTACCCTTCTCAGACCCCACTTGTGGGATTACACTGGATTTTTTGTTGTTGTTTGATTAGAAATCATACAGTGATATCATGCTGCAGGAATTTTGTTACTGATTCTGTCATTTTCTAAATGTACCAAAAAGATGGGAACTGCTTGTATATATGGCCTGAACTATAGAGCTTCATCTGGAAATAATAATACGCTTTTTGTTAATATGGAAAATACTGATCCATGATACAAAATTACATATTTAGGTTCAATAGACTGAACTGCTTGAAGTTATGAATGTCATAGAATGTACTATATGTTAGATGTCACTCTTAATTTAGAAATCATACGGTGATATTATGATGCAGGAGTCTAGATACCTAATCTGTCATTTCCTAAATACACCCAAAAAGGTGGGAACTGCTTGTTATAAGGACTGATCTATAGAGCTTCATCTGGAAATAATAATATATTTTTTGTTAATATGGAAAATATTAATCCATGATTAAAAGTACTTTTCATGATTACAAATGCATATCCTTGAATATTGTAGCGGCTGTATTATGAAACTTGCACAGATGCAATATTTATTTGTATTTATTAATGTTTTTACTTTTAACTACAAGATTTCCAGCCATTTTTTGTGATTAAGTGGATGCTTCTCTATTGATATCTTTTGATCTGGGTTCAGCTACTGGTATAATTTGGACACGAACTACTGGAGCACAGTTTATAAGCACAATATTGGAAAAGACTTCAAGTTCAAAGCTGGTTATGATTCAGAAGTGCGACTTGGTTGGGCATCTCTATGGGTAAGTTATTGGTGCTTCCTTTCATGGCAAATAGGAACAAACTGCTTTTCAGCTTTGATTGTTATGCTACTTTAATTTGCTTAGTAGTTATCTTCAATTACTTAATTTTTTTCTCTGAGATCTCCAAGTATATTGATAGCTTTGATGTGTTTTTTCCCATTGCTTTTTTTTTTTTTTTAAAAAGTTTTGTATGCCTTTTTAATTGAAGTAACTACTTCTTGCGTTTTTAAATAAGTATTTTTCTATGGCTAGAGGAGACGATTTAACTAAAGATAGAAACAATCAAAAGGAAGGTCTCTTTCTCTTTTATGCAAACAAACCCAATAGAAAATCTCTATTGGAACAAAGGTTTTTTTTCTTTTTCAACAATAAGTCTATTGCAATGAGCAGCAGGGTTGAGAGCTTTCAAAGATTTTTATGCTAGGACGGTTTGCTAGCAAAGGCAATCTTCTAGTAGTGTTATTTTCGTTCGTGCTACATTACTGATATGAGCGCCCAATCTTGGTGATTGAACATTTTCTCTTGATTTACGTTGATAAAAACTGGACCATGATGACAGGAAGTAAGGAAAAGGAAACAGAAAGCGATTTTGACGATGTTGTGCACTAATTCTCATAGCCTAAAGACGGGCAGATCTAGCGTGCAGTATACGGGTTCCCAGGAACCCAGTAACTTTTACGTAGACCCTGTATTTTGTTAAAAAATTTATTAAATATCTATAAATATTTATTTGTGAACCCAGTTATTATTGTATATTAATTTGAAATTGCGACAGGAACCCATAAACTTAAAATCCTGGATCCGCCTCTGCCTAAAGATATCTATTAATCTTATGGGATTATATGGGAAATCGTGTGTTGTGCTAAATGCTTTTCCTGCTTGTGAAAAACAAAACTACTAAGTTATGATACATAATAATAGCATCTACTCCTGCCACATTTTTTTTGTTAGGCTGGCGAGGAAGCTGGAAAAGCGAAGACAGCTCCGTTGAAGATGAAAGTTCAATTTATGCTTCAAGTACCTCAAGATGACATTACATCTTCATCTTTGATGTTCCGTGTGAAGAAGAGGTGGGATATATGATGATATAATACTAAGAATCCTCTGTTACCTTTGCTGTAATGAGATAGTAATTGTTTACCGTGGAAATATGGATGTTTCTTTAGCTGTCACAAATTCTGAGCCTTTCCTAGCAAGTGTTCTTTTTCTCTCTTTACAAAGCATGTAAAGCTTGAAAATATCTTTTAACTCAATCATGTTGCACTCAATAAACCTCCCATCTTTCAGCTGAATGAGAATGTCATGTTAAATTTTCTGCCATATTTTTCGCTAAACCAATATTGAACTTTATCTCACCAGCTACGGGAAAAATTTGAGCCCCGTGTTCTAGCTTCTGTGAGTTGGGCAATCTTAAAATGTTCAACAAGAAAGAGACTGGTTACTTTGGAATTATTTTTTTATAAATTGAATTCTCACAATCTGTTGTCTTTCGTCATACTTCAATTAGTGCATAACATTGTCGTCTAACATATTGATGAATTTGGACTATCAGACTAATATTCGTGATATTAACTTCTAAGATTGAGTAGGGTAGAAAAACATTTTGTTACTAATTTCTTTTCCATAAGTTACGATTTTTCTTGTAAAAGTGAAGCCAATACCATCATAGGATGTGTTTGGTATGATTGGGATCCCCCAACTTAACCAAAGGTTTCAAATTCAATCCCCGAGAATGAAAAAACTTAATACGGATCAAATCTCCATTAAATGAATTGTAAATCTGAATTAGTCGGACAAGAAGAAAAAAAACAAAACCAAACACATAAGGAAATAAGATCCTGATACGGATCAAATCTCCATTAAATGAATTGTAAATCTGAGTTAGTCGGACAAGTGAATTCCAAATGCTAGATGATTATACCCTAAAAGAAAGAAGACAAAACAAAACCAAACACATAAGGAAATAAGATCCTGAAACTAAACCAGGGGCCTTTTATTGTCACAATAAATTTGAAGAAAGTCAAGTTTTCCCACTTGTCCGTTTAATAGGAAGAAAGTGAAATGAGGAGAACCAAATTGCAAAGCTCAGATACTTATAATTATTCACCAAGAACTCATCATAATTATGTACATGTTTAGCAAAATGTACAGACTTTAATAGCATCTTATACAACTTCCAAAGCCAAGATACTATAATTTAAGGCAAAATAACGGCAAAAAAAAAAAAGGCAAAAAGGTTTTTTTTTTTTTTTGTTGATAAGTAGAAAAGGCAGAAAGCACTCGACCAGTAGGATCTTTGATCGACATCCTTGCCCAGTAGTTATAAATAAAGTGTCAGATTTACATCATTATGTAAATCCACCGCTTCACTCCCAAGTGAATGAAATAATAGAATTGGCAAGACCTGATTCCTCAAAGGTTATGTTGTTATCATACTCCAAAAACTTCGATGCGCCTGGGATAGCTTGTGTGAATCGAAATGGCCTCGTCTCGGCTTCCTCAAGCTGAGTAGAACAGAAGGACCATAGCAGCTGAAAAGAAAAAAGACAAATAAGCCAGCTGCATTCCAACGACTCCCAAATAATCATACAGGCAAAAGAATGTTGTGCCATTATCAGGTGAAGTTCACTTTTCTTTATGTAGATAACATTAAATCTAACAAAGAAGTTGTATCAAAGTGAGCTAAGGAGAGTTGACTTCTCTTAATGGAAGTATCTTATGCATTATTATTTAAGGAGAATTTATAACTCTATATGCCAAGAGCATTTTCATATCAAAGGGGAGAAGTTGACATGTTAACCTACAAGACTGGATTCTGGAAGATTACGTCAGAATAAACCACAACTCAAGCTTGAGACGCATCAACTCTATAGAACAGAAAAATGAAATAAAGCTTTACCTTAATTGAGTCAGATCGTAAGAAATTCCTTTGAAGCCTACGACCATCAGGAAAGCGAATTGCAACTCTGCAGAGGAGGGCCCTGTCGCCCTTGGATTCTTCAGGTAAAGGAGGATAAGAAGGCTTCTTTATCAAGTGCTTCTCTTCTCCATCATTATTGGCTTCATTAGTTTCTTTAGAGGCAACTGCACCAGGATCTTCTATGCCTTCCATAGAGGCTGCCAATGCTCGTTGTAGTTCTTCGTCCTCTTCTCCAATTTCATCTTGCACATAACAAAGCCTTATAAATGAGGTTCAATCTGTATTTGGTAGGTCATCTGACTCAGTATGTTTACTATTTTCTTTTCTACTTTTCATTGGGTGGAGGTGGCGTTGAGACATGCTCAATATTGTAGTTGGTCAAAATGGAGACGTGTTTGGCTAAGGTGGACCGCAGGCGCAACTCATTGCACGATAAGTTTTAAATCAAGATGAAAGAGATAGAGACTTTGAAAACTGCTGTGATCTGTGTTTTGAGGCCACATTATGAATCTGGAGTGTCACCTCACTGAAGAGTTTCATTTGGCCTCTATAATATACAGCTCTTGCAAAAACACCAAAACCTTTTTCTTTGTCTACCCCCCCCCCCCCCCCCCCCCCCNCTCTGAGGTAAAAGCATTAAAAACATTAAACTTACTCTGAGGTTGAGGTTGACGAGGTGGTGCCTGAGGAGTTTCTCTTGGTCGTTTATGAGAAAGATTAACATGATATTCTGAGGGGCTAGCATCCATGAAAGATATGAGATCCTGCATAGCACACGATATATCAGTTCCCTTCAGTTATAATAGATGTTGTAAACACAAAAAGTTACTCAAGTCCTACAAGTTATGTAGGCAAACTTAACAAGGTAAAGGAACAACAACAAACCTCTAGCAAAGTTTCTGGCTGAACCATTCCACGCCAAGAACGCATCTTCTGACCTGTTATAGGATCAAGTACCAATACGACAGGCATAGAATCTAACTTGTAGTAAGTGCAAACTTTGCTGCCCTCCTCAGTATCATCATACACCTGCATGTAAACAAGCAAAAAAGAACAGTGAGTGAAACAAAAAAAAAGGGAAAAACACAGAAGTCACCAAGCAACTCCTTTCAGAATCATGCAGCCAATAAAACGATAGAGTAATTTAGTCCCTCTGGGACATCCAGTAAAATGATAGTAATTTAGTAACCCCTCCACAAAATCACCCCGAAATAGAACAAAGGAGACAGCCTGCTTTATCCTTTCTGTTATTTTTACATTTTCCACATAGTACTCTGGTTCCCCCATCAGCTCTTTCAAGTATGAATCCAAGATTGTGACAAAATTCTATCAGCCAGATGTGCAGCATGGATATATTAATTGAAACTTTGTCCTCTGAATGAATAAGTTCATAGGTTCTTTACTCCATTTAGTCGATCAAGACAAAGTTACTCATACTAATAACTATTTTCAAGTTCTCTAAAAAACTCCGACTCTTCGATCTTACCATGTAGGCTAGTCCATTAAGGTTTAACTTGGAAAGCAGACTAACATCAACTTATATACCCATTGGTGGTCTTCTTTCTAACTGCTAGCTTACGACATCAAAGTTGTCACAGATGTATTTGGGATTGTGCCATCTAATTACAACCATTCACGCAGGCACCTTCAGAAGTATAAGGACTGCATGCCATGTGTTCCTTTGAGTGAGTGCAGAACCATATTTTTTCCTTGCTTTCTTTCCCTGTCCAAGCTCAAGGCTAAAGAAGCTCACGTATTTCAAACTTAGAATGGACAGACAAAACCTGGCACTTTGGTCAGTCACATTGGCATTACGTGTAAAAGTAGCCATATAGTCTCTTATTCTTCTTCTTTCTTTCAAGACCAGAAGATTCAATTCAAGTCGTCTAAAATGACAACAAACAGAGCCAAATTTCTACCAGATTTCAGCACAAGTAATTCTAACAAATTTAGTGACCTCTGGAGGATATATCTAGCAAATAAACTAGTTACACATAATGGCAACATTGTCAAAAGGTCAGCGTCATGTGTAGAGAACCATAACTGGTAAAGAGCCAATGAAACAAGTCCTTGATTAATATAAACAAATAAAAGTTGAGACACACAGGTAAACTGCATGCAACTCTGACTATAGAACTAGTTTAAAAGAAAGAAAAAAGTAGCACCAACCTGCCAGAAGATGAAGTTGCTTTTGATAGTCTGAGCAACAGCCTCATTAGCCCAAGTGTCTCGGTTAAGCTTCAAAAGCAGGTTCACAAAAGTGAGTCGAGAACATAACAAGGAAAAGACATATTGTGTCAGCTTCTATGTCCCCAATATATTTAGTTAAAGGGGGAGATGTGAAGAGACATACCATATGTGAGCTGAATTCTCGCGTGGATTGCATATTCACCAAGAGCCATTTGTTCTGCGCTCTAGCAGCATCTTTCGCCTGCAATTACAGATTATTCAGGGAAACAGTATCCACCAAGGAAGACAGCAACATAGGTTATGTACTCCAGTTAGTAAAAGCATCACAATGAAGTACGATCCAAGTAACTGGGTTAAAAGGTGACAAGCAACCATAGATCACAAGATTTTGCTTTTTTCCACAGTTTAGAACAACCAGCTTGATAGGCATAAAACCAATGGGTTAAGAATCAACTCAATACACTAAACTAGTATTAGGCCTCCAGAACATTAATAGAGATTGCTATTCAACTCACTTGTCCTTTTAAAAGGAACAAATTATCCCATTTCATAGATCCGAGCAGTATCCTACTTTCTCTATTTTTGAAGCTTCAAAATATCCCCATTCGTACAGATAGTAGGCAGCTGTTTGTGGACAGACACTTTTTTTTTGTAAGACTTCCTACATTATTATCTATAGTATATGGGTTGTGTTTTTCGTTTTTTTTTTTTTAGTTGATAAAGAAAGGTTTATGGTTGTGTTTTTCGTTATTAATGCAAATACTCTTTACCCAACCAAAAAACAGAATAAAAGAAAGGCACCCACTGATCCATGATATCACTAGTAAAAGAATATGGCAACTAGGATAAGACAAAAAGTAAATAAGCAATGGTAGAAGCAAATACAATAAGAAGAAGAAAAGTTTACGTCTAACATCAACGAAAAACCAAATCCAACAAAATTCAATTTACTTTGTTAACCCTCTACTTAATCAAAGGAACACAAGTATAAGGTTTATGGTTGTATTTTTCGTTATTATTGCAAATACTCTTTACTCAACCAAAAAACAGAATAAAAGAAAGGCACCCATTGACCCATGATATCACTAGTAAAAGAATATGGCAACAAGGATAAGACAAAAAGTAAGTAAGCAGTGGTAGAAGCAAATACAATAAGAAGAAGAAAAGTTTACGTCTAACATCAACGAAAAACCAAATCCAACAAAATTCAATTTACTTTGTTAACCCTCTACTTAATCAAAGGAACACAGGTAACCAAACATCATCATAAGTTGTGAAGGGAATAACTTTTTGTTACTTAGTTTTGACTTTTGAAATGCCACAAAATAATAAGGTTCTTTGGTTAACATATAAATTTGCAACCTCTCTACTCACTAGTTGCCAGAACACAGACTGCATAAATTTTAAAAGTATTATCAAGAAAAATCCTCGCAAGAGCAACAAGAGCGAGGTAAATCACCACAGAAAACAAATAAAGTACTTAGTGAAGCAAGAAACTGAGCAACAAATCTTTCCGGTAAGGTCCATTTACCTTCTCAAAAGGCCCATGGTACATCAAGGCAAAAGGAGGACGATACAAAGAAGCAAGATTGTCTTGAGCAGCATCTGCTGTAGAAATAGAACGTTTCTCTGCCTCCCAAACTCCAGGACGCTTCATTTCCTCCTCAAAATTGCGGAAGGGAACTACTAATCGAGGTTCACGTGATGAACCTCCCACTCCTGATGAACTAAAGAACAACACAAGAAAATCAATTCAACAAAATAAGGGTACAAATGAAAGGGGGAAAACATCCTTTAGAAGAAAATTAGAAAATGAAAATGGCAAAATAGTACAGATTAGCTATGCACACAATCGCTAGTATTCTTTGTCAAGACAGTCAATTAGCAAGTTTTGATATCTAAGTGCATATACATCATGCATTCGCACTCCAGATACTGCAAAAAATGGAAAGAAAGAGCTGTACCATTTGTGAAAAAGGAAGATAGTTGAGTTGTTTGCACTGAGAGAACAATGAATACAGTTCATAGTACAACTTGGCTGCATCACAACAATAATAATGAAAAGAGAAAGACATGAAGAGGAAGAAGAGGACCACAGTAGGTCTAAATTTATGAGTAGCATCAATTATTCTGAGTGCTAGATATCTATTATAATGAGGAAACACATTTTCGCCTGGATATATTTTTATGAGAAACTCTATGATGCCTCACATAAGACAGGAATTTATAACAATTCTTGTGCAACACAACAAGCAGAGAAGTAAAATCCTGAACTAATGCAACCAGCCTGATACTGATTGTAATTTTGACTAATTCTATTATGCAAATGCATCTTATTTCCATATGTAGAATAACAATAATTTGAGCTTTTCCTTTTGATGTGAATGATTTATGCTTCTCCTACGTTGGAAAGCCCCAGGTTACCCTAAAATCTCCAAGTTTGTTGTGGCTGACGAGTGTTGGAATGTACAGTGAAGACACAATTTCTGGAAGAAACCATATCCCCTAACCCCAAAAAGTTGAGTGGAGATCCAAAATATTTTTTGAGGAGTGGAGATCCAAAATATTAAAGCCAGAAACAATAAAGGGAGGAAGATTGCTCTATCAAACCTAGAGAATTGGTGTGACGGGAAAAATATGAAGAAAAAGAGTAATTCTAAGACAGAATAACAAAGACTTTGTCTGGATTCAATTTACTTATTTTTGTTTATAATAAGAAAACATTTTTAATTATTATGCTTAACAATTTCCAAAATCAAACTTTTTGTAAACTGCAGTTTTCCCATAAGCATTTTTAAACTTTACACTTAAATTGAACATAACAAAAAGTACAACTTAACCAAACACTATTTCTCTTCTTCCTCTCTTACTCCCTTTTGAATCTAAAATGTAAGCATGTGCCTGAGGACCCTGATCCTGGTAGACTTTTATGCGGACTAGGAGCATTGAAAGGAAACTGTTTTGAATCAAGTAATTGCTAATTACAGCTTCTTACTCTTCAATGCTTAGCCAAATAACATTAGGCGCTGAAGTGAATTTCAGTCCTTAGTGGTGGCGAGCATTTTTGGGTTCACCAACGAATCCGACATAAAACAATAAAAGAGGTCTTCAGGTTTTTTTTTTTTTGGATAAGGACAAAAAGAAGAGGAAGAATCTAGTCTAAGATTGACGAGGATGAACAAGTCCCTTGCTTCAACCCAAACATAGAAAAATTGAAAAACAAACAAAATATTGATCAATTTGCCCAGGCACTAAGAAAGAGCATTTTTTATGAGAGAGAAATTCATCTACAGCCAACCTTAGGACCAACTACAGCCTTCGAAACTCGGGGATAATGAGCATGCCATCTACCCTTCTCCGCTTACACCAGGCTTAGTTCGCATGACACAGGGCTTGAACCTGTGACCTAAGGGCTAAGTCACACGTCCTTCAACCTTTGCCACTTGAACTAAGCCTTGGGGGCACCTTAAAAAAGAGCATCTTGCTCCTACAGTGAGGATAAACGTTTTCTCCAGTGGACGTATACTGACTTTACAGCTTCCTAAAACTTCATATCTTCATATTTTCTAGCACATGGAATTAAAAGTGGTAGTTGCTAGCACATAAAATGACCGTGCCAACTCCAATAAAAACATGAGAATGAAATAGAATGAGCAAACAACATAAACAAAAGGCTCACATATAGACAATTGAGTAGATTTAGAAGCATGAGAAGTGGAATAGCATACCCATATAGTACAGCATTGTCATAAAGAACTTCCCTTTTTACAGGTAAAGGTGGTCGTATATCATCTCCATCGCCTTGTCCCCAGCTGTTGTCTGCCAAGTCCTTCACAGCTCCACTGGAACAAACACAAGAATTGCAAAAAGATAGAGAAAGTAATTAAAAACTAAAAAGGACAAAAGAATAACTAAAATAGAAAGATCACAGGGTGTATCTATATAAAAAAATACCTCAAGCTCGGATCACCAAGAAGTGCATCATTTCCCAATTCTGGAGAATTAAAAGATGCAGCAGCCCCAGCCTCATTTCCGATGTAGAAAAGCTGAATTGCTTCGTCAAGCTTCCAGCTTGTTGCCTGCGCACAAAGAATATTTACAATCTCCACCTTATAGTAACTAGGCACTAAAAATTACCAAAAAGCAGAAAAATCATCAATTCCGATTGACCACAAATAAATGTTCTGCATATGCCCCTGATGAAAACAAGATGCAACAAGAGCCAACAAAATAGCCAAATCAAGCAAACTACAATGCCATCAATAGCAATAAAACCCTCTACCTACTCGGCGTTTCATTATCTGCTTACTTTTCCACCCATTGACTCGTCTTATTACCAATACATGAAATAAATGTCTCTTATACCCCAACAACTAAAAGATCCAAAACTAAGTTGTCACCAAAGCTTGAGGAAATTAATTTGACTGTGATACAGAATCAGAAGGTACAACTGAATGGAAGAGCTCATTTGATAGAACCGGTAAGCAAATTTACCAGATCTAATATACAAGTCTCATCCATCTATTTTCTGTCCTAAAAGTTGTAGATGCTTTGCCAAAAAAAAAAAAAGGAAACCCCTAAATTCATTTAACTTCCACAAGATTGACAGGATCTTATATTTTAGTAATAACAAGATAAAGGTAGGACGTAATACCGGGCATACATCATAACATAAAATCTAGGCCCCAAAGGTGCTAATTCTTCTATTTTCCGTAACGATGATGTCCAGCCAAGGCCGTGTGCACCTCGACCTACATACATCCTTCGACTAGTACATGCCCAAAAGCTGCTAACTTTATCCATCGATTGCTATTATAAATGGAAGGATCATTAAATTATTATTCCAAATCTCAAATCTGTATATACACAACCCATTAACATTGTTCATTAACAAGTTCTACGAGCCTAAAGCCACAATCTAATCCAAAAATAAAAACATACCTTACGGAACACATCATATACTTACAGGTCAAGAACGAAAATAAAGCAATTTGCAGTCCAATTTTAAGCTAATCTTTTGTGCCGTAAATCTATCATGGAGTCACTCCTGAGCCATTAACAGCAAACATTCTTCTCTACAAAGCTCGAATATTTTTCCTATTTTTTATATTTTTATCTTGTTTATGATGGTGGTGTCCAAGCCAAGTCGGTTTATCTCGACTATTTCATGAGATACTTGATACTCCCACCACCATAGGTACAGCGTGACTCTGCCCGCCAAGGTTTAGGTATATGCAAAGAAATCACTTGGTGTTTTTGCCTTCGCTAGGAATTGAACCTAAGAACTCATGGTTTACCTGTCACTTTATTATCCGCTAGGCCACACCCTTCCGTGCAAAGCTCAAACCTTTTTTCTTTCTTTTAATAAGTAAATAAATTCTTCATCATAAAGCTTGGATCTTTAATATATATGATTTAATTAAAATCACCGAGAACATAAATTAAAGCTCAAAAAATATTAATTTTAACTCAACACGATAATGTTGGGCAAAAAAAAGATTATTTTTATATACTAGTAGAAAAAAGTTTGATACTAACATATATTTATGCTAGGGCACTACTCTCTTTAACTCGAACTACACCATATGCGAGATAGGCGAGACTTAAATCATGGATCTACTACTACTGTACATAAAGTAAAACACATACATTATAATATTAAAAAAGGTATGTTTAGAACCTGAAGGAACTGACGGGCAGTATCGGCGGTTTGACCGACGGCGATTTCAAGGAAAGACGAAACTAACATCTGCTGGTCCGTCGCAGACCTTACGCCGTCCATTGCTTCTCTCCCTTCAATTTTCGTGCTGTTAAGTTTTAGAAAGAGAAAAAGGAAAACCTAACTTTGATGAATTTTGTAGATTTCTTCTGCAACCGATTGAGTATCTATGAAGAAGGTGAGGAGGTGGGATTTTTTTATTTTTTTTTTTTGTTGG